AACCGTAAAAGAATAATTCAATGAAGGTTAAATAGATATTCTTCAGAAGTGCTGTGGCAATGGTGCAGCAGGAAAAACCAAGAGCAAAAGAGGCAAAAAAAATTACACCAGGCAAAATAATCACAGTAGATGAGATTGATGATGAATGAATATCAAAACAAAAAAATCAAATAACCAACAAATAGAAGGCAAAAAATCAAAACCCACTTCAAAGGATATTGAATCTTTATTTTCTAAATAAAACATTGAAGCCAGTTGTAGTTGTTCTGATCAGGAAGAACAAGAAGTAAATGTATGAGTAAAAAAATACGAGGTTCCTAGAGAAGACATTTTTGTTGTACCTTTCTCAAACGTATTGCAAGATCTTCAACCACCGAAGAAAAATAATAGATATCAGCTACAGTTTGCAAATGCGAAAAATGTTGATAAATTTGCTAAATATATCAGATATGCCATCAGCAGATAGAGCAACACTTTTACCAGTAAAATACTATAAATTTGCTCGTATATTGTGTCCTAATTCAGTAAAACTTCCAAAAAAAAAGTATTAATGACACTTCTGAAGAGGGTTAAATTAATAAGCCAGTTAATAGATTATCAAAGTTACCTCAGAGAAGGAGATTGATAACATTTTGTACTTAAAAAAAACTGGTAAAACCAAAAAAGAAAAAAGATTGAATGAAATCCTACAAAGAAAAGATAGGATATTATATCGGCAAAAAAAAACAGAAAAAAATGTTATAAGAAAGAGTTTTTTTACAAAAATGCTCAAAAATTTATCAAAGTCACCCTATCACCCTAGTCACACCAATCTATCAAAATCACCTATCAAAGTTTTATGGTACTTCATAAATAGATACGTTCAAAAAAAAAAATTGTGACTAGAGTCTATAAACAATATTATTTGGGTAAAAGAGGCAGATAGAATAAAATTAAAAAGAAATCTACTGTTATAAACGAGATTAAAAACTATTGCTTCAATATTGAATAGTTATGACTTAAGTAAATTTAATCTCCTTTCCTTCTAAAATAGAGGGGTTTGTAAACTTTAAATAACCGCCATTTTTAAACAATGAGATAATTTTTTATACGACTTACGTTTAAATTTAAAATTTTTCCAATATGTTTTACCAAAACACTTTTTTTTTACAGTAATATACAAAAAAGTTTAGTTTTGCACTGATATTTTAATAGTTGTAAAATCTGAATTTAAGTTTGCACAATAGGGTGTCCCAAAAAAAACAAAAAAACTTCTTACTGATTCCCATTCTATGTGACCTAAATAAGAAAAATTTGACGAATTCATTTTAATAGTATATTATTTTAATAGTTGTAAAATCTGAGTTTTACGGTTTTAAAGCTAAACTGCCTCAACATTAATAGAAAACACAATTTTTTTACATTAAATAAAATTAAAAAAAAACAATCAGATGAGTATAATATACATACATATATATATTTATATATATATATATATATATATATATATATATATATATATATATATATATAATATATATATATATATATATATATATATATATATATGCAATTGTTTTCGCTACTTTAACTTGATAGTTTATATTTATAAATATGAAAATACAAAGAAAATACATAATAATTAATATTTATTAGCAAATTTAAGATTTTATTGCGGTGAAAAATTTCTCACAAAATGCAACTTTTTGAACAGTTACTACGCTCCTTCTTGGCCATACTCCTATCTGGTTTTTTCTACACTTTTTAACTACAAAAAGTAAGTTTTACGGTGATCTTTATCTTTTGTAGTTAAAATAAAATCTTAAATAAGCTTATGTATCTTTCTGCGTCATCATTTACAACAGATATGTTTTTGATCCATACGATAAAATCTAGTAACTAAGGATAGTTAAAAACATCTATAGTATTAAGACTATTATTGAGCCATTCTTTTATACTTGCTCTTGATATTTTAAAATGTTTGGAGGTAGCTTTGCTCGGAAATTATCTCAGGTAGTTCTGTGGTCTCTCCAATTTATACATTTGATGGTTTGCAATGCTGAAATTCATTTGGCTCTTCAAACTCAATCAGAGCTAACAGCATCTTTAACTTTGTTTCAGAAAAAATTGTAGAAAAGAGAAAGAGAAGCAATATTACGACGATGTGACAGAGGTTAAAGGTTGGCTGCAAGAGCAGGTCCAACTATGTTTACAATGCGTTTTTGCACCTTGTCTAAAAGAGAAAGGGCATCATTAGAAGATCCGCCCCAGATATGATAACAGTATTCCATACAAGGCCGGATTTGATATTTATAGAGATAGAGAATAGAATCCAAAGTAAGAAAGTGTCGAGCTCGATAAAGAGATGCAACTTTAGCAGATGCTAATTTTGCAACGGATTTGATATAAGGTTTTCAAGAAAGATCAGAAGTGAGAGTTAATCCTAGAAGATGAGGGTAGATGACTCATCGAGTACATTACCGTTCATAAATATAGGAAGGTCTAAATTATTGCGATAACTATTGGCCAAAAAAAATTGAGTTATACCTGAATTAAAGTTCACCAGCCACGGTGAGCCCCATGCTGTAGCAGAAGTAAGATCCTTTTCAAGCTCAAATGCCCTCTGCAAGCAATCAGAGGGAGTTGGCTTCTTATCGTGACAAGAATAAATGGTAATATCATCTGCGAATAATGCCACCATTGATGTGAGAATATCTGGAAGATTGTTAATGTAAATTAAAAAAAGTATAGGGCCTAGGATTGAACCTTAAGGAACCCCTGAGGTTACAGAATAAGAAGAAAAGTGCTGTCCATCAAGGACAACTTTTATACTACGATTGGAAAGAAAGGATTCAATAATCTTAAAGATGTTTCCAGATACACCGTAAGAAGAAAACTTATGGAGAAGACCAGCATAGCAAACATTATCAAATGCTCTAGGAATGCCAAGAGCAATGGCCTTAACCTCTCCACCTTTATTTAACGCACGATAAAACCTATTGATTATTACTGTTAGCAAATCAACCGTAGAACGAGAAGATCGAAATCCATATTGATGATCAGAAAGTAGGTTATGAGATTCAAGATGAGAGATTAAGTGTTTGTTAATTAAAAATTCAAAAACCTTGCTTATGATAGGAAGAAGACTAATGGGATGGTAGTTAGATAAATCGGATTGCTTTCCAGAATTTTTAAAAATAGGGATAACAGATGCTGCTTTCCAGCAGGCTGGAAAATAAGACTCTGATAAGCACTTGTTAAATAGTTTTAAAAGGATAGACAACAGCTCCGGAGAACACTTCTGCAAGGCTATAACAGGTATGTTGTCTGGGCCACAGGCTGTAGAAAAGTCTGAGCAGGAAATCACTTTTAATACAGAAGCTGGAGTGATATGGATGTCGAGCAATGGATCAACCTGTTTGACGGCTATATCAGGTAAAACGCAACTAGTAAAGTCAAGAGATGATATTGATGAAAAGTTCTTAGCAAACAATTCAGCTTTGTCTTTAGGTGAGGTGACAAAGTCTGAACCATACAAAAGAAGTGGAATTACAGACTTGCCCTTATTATTGATACTATTAAAGATTCTCCAGAAGTCACGAGAGCCTAACTTTTGTGATGAAATACGAGATTTCATGATCTGAGAATAGCGGGCTTTGGTGTTAGACAAAACCTTTTTACAATGGTTCCTAGAAGTAATAAACAGACGTCTGTTTTCTGGAGAATTGTTTTGCTGATAGATATGGAAGTAATGGTTTCGATTGGCAATTGCAGCCGCACAATTCAAGGAAAAACATGGAGAAAGATTGAGGCTTGACCTGGAATTGTCGAGAGGGAATAAAGTTTCTATGCCAGCCTGAATCCACAAAGTTATGTAAGAAGCACATTTGTCAACAGAAAGACGAAAGTTTTCTACTATTTTTTTACCATTAATTATACCAACTAATAATATTGTATTGAATTATACCAATATTTTGTCCTGAGGAAATTATATCAATCGCTAAAAATGATCATAGGGAATGATGCCAATGATTAATAATGTCCTATGGGAATTATTTGTGTATCAATTATTACATCATATTAAAACATATTAAAATACTAGATAGCGCTGTTTTTATGTAAATACACACGTGTACATTTTTTAATGACACTTCTTGTCATTAAAAAATATAAAAAAAGATTTTGGTAGTTATTGAGGACCTATAGAATGGGAATCAGTTAAGAGCACATTGAAATTTTTAAAAAATTGTTATTTTGGGACACCCTATTGCACTACCTATGAAAGTTAAATACCAAAAACCAAAAAATGTTTGTCTTTCTAACTCTTTGACTTTTCAAATATACACTGTCTTCTAGACCATTAGAATCCAGACAGACTGAGCCAAAAAGAAATTATATATTCTTTGTGAAACTATCTCATAAAATTAAAATCTTAGATGGTATTATTTAAATGGTTATTGTCGTAATAAAGTAATCAAATATTTTAAATCAGCTCTTTTAAAAAAGTTTTATAATCATTGATAACTAAACTAATCTTGTACTTTTAAAAGTACAAAAGAAATTTCTTGTACTTTTAAAAACTTTTAAGAAATTTCTTGTACTTTTAAAAGTACAAAAGAAATTTCTTGTACTTTTAAAAACTTTTAAGAAATTTCTTGTACTTTTAAAAGTACACAAGAAACTTCTTCATAAAAAAAATAAAATCTTCCTCTAGAAGCAAGCTTTCAGTATTTAAAAGTTAGTATTCTGCTTTAGTTTTTGAATGGTTTTAAAATGATTTTAGATTGATATAAAAAATCCTATATAAGTAAAAATAAAAATTACGCAGCATTTTGCTAAATAAGTTAGTTATTAAACATTAATCTACTGTCTCTGCAGAAAGTTAGAAACTGCTTATAGCCTAATATTTAAAATAATAAAATATTTGCGTAATCTAAAACTTCCATAAATTAAGTATTTCGATAAGCTTTCAACTTAAAACTAGATAATAAATTTAAAAAAAAATTATTTTAAAAGCATACCTCATTTGCACTGACTACCTTCAGATTGTACATTATAGGTAGGATAATAACAACACATACCAGAATTACTAACGGATACGAAAAGCAAATATTTACATATTGTATGCCATATGTAAACACTTCCGATGACATACCTGTTATTGCTATTGCCGACAAATAAGTGGCAAAAAATGAGACGAATAATGGGAACCAATTTACATTTCGATCGGCTACTAAATTGTCTTTGTCGTTGCTTTTTTGTTTTGTGCATCCAAAATAAACTCCAATAATTGAAGAAATAAGAAGCATACCTCCAAAAACGACATAATCAAGTAATGTAAATTTACTCAAATTCGCCATAGTTTTTGCTAACCACTTATAACTAAAAATACGCAACAAATTAAAACGTTAATGAAGTAGATTTTATTTTTTATAAATCGACTGAATATTGTTTATAATTTTGGCGCAGGAAGAATTGCAGATTACAATATAAAAAACAAATTAGTTGTCAAATATGTAATGTTGAAAAAACATTTTGTTTGCTCTAAACAAGCGGTTTACGAGTAGAAGAACAAATAAAATACACAAATAAGCAGATTGTGGAAAAATAAAATAAATAAAAACACAATTAAATAAAATAATAAATATAATAAATAACCTTTTAGTAGTATTGATTTACGATTAAATAAAAATAAGTCTTTTAAAAATATATATATATTTGTCCACGTTTATTTGTCGACACAAAGCATAGACTATGCTTAGTGTCGACAAATAAACTATGCCATAGTCAATAGAAGTCAATAGAATTTCCCTGGTCGGGAAATCGCGTAATTGAAGCTTATTTTTATGTGAAACTTAAACGCCTAAAAAATATCATTCACGTGATCAAAGTAAGTGCAAACTTTAATTTTAAAATGGCTAAAAGTGATATATATATATATATATATATATATATATATATATATATATATATATATATATATATATATATATATATATATATATATATATATATATATATATATATATATATATATATATATATATATATATATATATATATATATATATATATATATATATATATATATATATATATATATATATATATATATATATATATATATATATATATATATATATATATATATTTGTAGTGAAGGTTGAGATTTTAGAGTGCCGAAAGTCGGCACTCAAACGAAATTTGCTTATAGTTCCGGAAGCCTGTTTTAAAGGCCTGTGTCGCGTGTCAAAATAAATTCCGATTTCATATATTTTAAATACCAATCATTAAAAAAATATTTGAACTATATATATATTTTAAAAATTTTATTTCGTTCATACTTAAAAGATGTCAACTAGTTTTGCATGCAAAGATTCTTTTTTATCATTTGAAGATTTAAAATCAACTACTAAGAAATATGAAGATTCTCATTTTGTGCAGTTGTGGATTCGTGACGCCAAAACAATTAAAGCTGCTAGAAAAACCATTCCAAGAATAGCTGCTATAATAGCTCCACAGATAAAGTATTACTATATAAAGTATAGCTGTATATATATGGTGGAAAAAAATTTACAAATAAAGGCAATGGAAAACGTCAAACTTCGTTAGTACTTTTTTATCTTACAACTTTATTATTAATTATAAATTAAGGTTTAAAAAATATATTGATAACTTATTTATGCATAGGAAATAAACATAATTTCTAATTTAAATGCCTTATTTTATCAAAAGATAGCATATTTATTTCATGAAAAAATAACCGATTTTGAACATGTTTATTATAGGACTTATAAGAAAGAGTGTCCATTCTTCTTAAGTTTTAAAGCATCAGAAGATAGGCAAACATTAATTTTGTAAGATTTAAAACATAATCATAATCATGAAGTATCTGAAGTAAGTTATAATTACTTATAATATTTATGATAAAATGTTCTTAAATATGTGAATTAAATTCTTGAAATATCCTGCAATCTAATTTTGTGACTAATATTTTAATCAAATTTTGTGACTAATATTTTCTAGAAAGGTATTGTGGTTAGTAACCATGTTAGATTATATGTTGTATATATTTTCTTGATTATAATAAATAAAATAATTGCTTTTAAAAATAGATTTTGTATAAGCACTTACCAAATCAAAGAAAACTTCCTAATTATGCTGTTGCAAAAGCAGAAAACTTGTTACGCTTAAAAGCTACTTCAACGTGAATTGTCAAAGGAGACTGTAAAAATGATAACTCTTCGTGACTTATCAAATATTGCTGCTTCTGCACACAAAAGTGATACACGAAATAGTTTAACAAGTTTTGTTAAGACTTCAAAGGAAAAATACATTAAGAAAGTCATAAAACAAAAGTTTTTTTTGTAAAGAATTGTAATTATCATTAATTTCATTTTTTGATTTTCATATTGTTATGTATAATGCATCCTCTTTTTTCAAAAAAATATATATATATATATATATATATATATATATATATATATATATATATATATATATATATATATATATATATATATATATATATGCGTTTTAGATATGTTTTAACGGATGCCGAAGATAATTTACAAGGGCTTTTTTTCCAAGATATTTCAATGCATAGCGCTTACAATGCATATCCTGAATTTTTATGCATGGATGCAACATATTGTTAGAAATTCGTCTGCCAGTATATATTCTGCTATGCGAAGATGGAGCTGGTGAGTTTGGATTACTTCTTTATATAACTTTAGTTACTAATTTTGAATTTGGTTACTGCTGTGCTTTTTTTTTTGATTTTTGAAACTTGCTTGTTACTAGAAGTATTTTTCATAGGTGAAAGTGAAATAGCCACTGTAGGTTTGCTAACACATGAAGATGCTGCATCTCTCAAGTATAATTTACTAACTATATCTAGCTTTGATGTATTTACTTTATAAAGATAAAACTAATATTAAATAAAACAATCTGACAGTATTAGGTGTCTTTGAGTCACACACACACAAAATTCTTACATAAAAAAATGAAAAATATACATAGAAAAAAGATTGTTTAAAAGTTATGAAATCTTTTGTACATAATTTTTAGTTGGTTCATTGAAAGATTTAAGAGTTACAATATTTCTTGGCCAAAGCCAAATGTCTTCATGACAGATAAAGACTTGACAAAGAGGCGTATTGTGTGGTGCTTTTCCAGGGGTTTCTTCATTACTCTGTTTATTTCATACCTGCAGTAATAATCATTGTTTATATGTGATAAATTATTTGATTAAGGAATATTTTCTTGTTCAGATTTGAGTTGGGTTTTTTTTTTTAATTTGTTTGATTATCTACAGATTCTTACATTTTATGAGTTTTCTGATAAGCCAACATTATCTTGTATTTCAGAACTTTTAGTCGTGAAATTACAACTGTCAAACTTGGGATTACTAGTGGGGAGCGAATTTCATCTCTAGAATTTATTCAGAAATTAGCTTACGCAACCTCAGAGGAAAATTATGACGAGTTGTATAGACTATTTGTTTCATCAGCTTCTTCCACTGTTATAGACTATTATAACAACAATTGGCATAATATTAGTGATGAGTGGGTTTTTGGTTTGAAATTTGTCAGTGGCAACCTCATGAATAGCACCAATAAACGTCTAGAAAATTTCAATGGAAAGTTAAAAGAAGTTATTGACTACAACAGCTCGTTAAAAGACTTCCTTGGTAAATTCTATGTTGTTTTAACATCTATGCGTAATGAAAGGTATCATAAGACAATTTTCCAAATGCAAAAAGTTTCTATTGATGTATTTGATCCCAATTCTGCTGAAGCAGCTTATAAAAATTTTTTGACATCGTATGCTGCTCAACATGTTCTAAAGCAGATGAGCTTGTTTAAAGAAGTTACATTATTACCAGGAGAACATGGCCAATTCATAGCGAACAGCCATGAAGGTATTCATACAGTGACTTCAAATTTTTGTTCTTGTATGTTTCAAAAGTCAATGAATTTACCATGTCGTCACATCTTTGCAGCTCACCAGATGCTTGGGATAAATTTGTTTGATACTGAATTGTGTTCCGAGAGGTGGACATTACAGTACTATTGTCGACATCAACGAGCCTTTGATACCCCAGTCATGGTTGAAAAGTGTGCAACTGTAGATTTTCATGTCGCTCCAAAAATTAAAGTGTATTCTCAGCATGAGAAAATTAAACTTGCCGTACAAGAGACATCATTTCTTGCTACTCTTGTATCTGAATTCACAGGTCAGACACTTGAGCAGCGTCTCAGTCTTTTGCGAGCTTTAAGTAAAGGTTGGGCAAATGGAAAGGTCATGGTAATTAATGAACTTATTGAAGAAGATGATTTAGTAACATCTAAAAAAATATCTAAACAAGCGGGAACATCATCAATACCAGCAAAATTAATTGTTTCTGATGCTGTTAATTTAACGTTTTCTGCAGTTTGAACAGGTAGCTTAATTGACTTACCTATCAGTGTTGATGTATCAACCTTACCAGCGAGTAATTGTTCAACAAATGCTTATTCTATTACGAGTGCATCTAAAAATGTCGTCAACACAATTTCAATTAATTCATTAAGATGTGCAGCAAATGTGAACAGTGAAGTCACTTTAATAGCTCCATAAGTACTTAATAAAAAAAGTTTATCTGTGGCACAGGTAGGTGCCCAATATGAAACTTTAAATAACAACTATTTATCAGAGCAAGCTGAAATTGTAGAAAAAGCACCATATCAGCAAGAAGAGTTGACATCTGGGAGGAGTAATGCAGATGCAGGTTAAATTATAGATTTGTTGCAATGTTCTTGTAATTATGTGCTTAGTATAATATCGGTAAAACATAAAGTAAATTGTTTCTAGACTTCAATAACCATAGTTTTATTGTTTTTGAAACCAGATGATGTCCGTAAAGCTCTTTCTGGCATACTTATACAGAGTAATTGCATAGAAAAAAGAGTGAATTGTATTTCTTCAGCTGTTCTTGATGAAAGTGCACTTGGATCTCTTTTGTCTCTGCAATCATATTTTACTTCAGACGGGTGTAAAGTGCTTAATAAAATAATTGATATCAAATCTCAGCAACGAATTTGGCCTTGTGCAGTGTGCCAAAAAAGTATATCTGTGGGCAATGACATTGGGGGCTCAATAGCGTGTGGTTCCTGCCTTTTGTAGTTTCACAAAAAATGTGTTGACAAGAAAGAGGCTTGGTGTATTAAATCAAAATATTGGTTTTGCCGCTTTTGCTAAATTGTTTTAAGAATGATGTGCAATAGTTATTTTATTTTATTTTACTTGGTATTAAATGTTTTACTTTATATTTACTTTTTGTGTCTGATCTGTTTTAAACATTTTTGCAAATGAGTAAGTAGCAATATTTGTATTCAGTTTTAATATTTTTTAGGATGCCAAATTGTGTTTAATTTCCCAACTGTTATTAGAAGTATTATTATTATTATTAATAATAATTGTTATTATTTTTTATTTTTCAATCCTTTAAATATTTCCAAAATTTGCAATAATGTCCAATTTGGTATAAGATAGTCAAGTTACAGATGATTGGGTATGAGCATGTAGGACGCTAATACGCTTCATGATAATGACAATCATAATGATGATCATAATGATGGTGATGATAATGATGATGAGGTTATGATGACTTAGTTGCTTATTTTTTCAAGCTGATGAAATTTTCTTTTGTTGTTTATAATATGTTTTTAGTTTTAGAAATTTGACTTAAGCTAAGCTATTGCCTTGACTTTTTGTTATTAATATAGGTTTTACTATTTTATAAGCTGGTTAACTATTACCACTATTTAATGAATGTAAATAAGTTGAAAAAGTTGTGTGAAAACAATTTAGACTGCTTGATTTTAAATAACTTAAAAAAACCTATTAAAATTATATATATACATATATACATATATATACATATATATATATATATATATATATATATATATATATATATATATATATATATATATATATATATATATATATATATATATATATATATATATATATAATATATATAAGGGTGTATATATATATATATGTATATATATATATGTGTATGTATATATATATATATATATATATATATATATATATATATATATATATATATATATATATATATATAAGGGTGAATGGAAAAAATGTTTTGCCAACCACAAGCAATCTTTTAAAAATAAAAAGTATTCATAGGACACTATGCTGTCAAAATATATAAGGGAACTAAAAGATAAAAATACTGATGATTTTATATTGAATTGGTCCATCCTTAAAACAGCGCCTGCATACAACAATAATTCCAAAAAATGCATACTATGTCTACAAGAAAAATTTCAAATAATTACACATGCAAACCAAGAATGTTTGTTAAACAAAAAATCGGAATTGATTTCTAAATGCAGGCATAAAAACAAGTTTCTCTTAAAAAACTATAAAAATAAGTGAGCTCAAATAATAGTTACATTAAATCCCCCCTTTTTAAAAATATTTTTATAAAAAAGCATAAGTAATGTCTAAAAAATTCTTTTTATAATAGTGTCAGCAAATTCCACAAATGTGTGATAATTTACAGTAGTTAAAATATTTGCGACTTCCTGTAATTTAGTTTTTTGGTATAAACTGAAGTTTTATTAATTTGATCATTCATTTCTGATGAGTCTTTGTTGATGAAACATAGGCCGTGCGGCCGTGGCACCGTGGTGTGCGGCCGTGGCACCGTGGTGTGCGGCCGTGGCGCAGTGGTTAGAGCACTTGCTTTATAAGCTGGAGATCCAGGTTCGAAACGAGCTTTGGACATATTTCGCGTCACGGTAAGAAAGGAGACATTTCTGGTTAAATGCACGTCCGCAGTGCTCTGTGACAAGACCGTAAGGACTTCTTTGGGCACCTAAAAAAACTGTAAAATGAGAAAATTTTTTGTTAAGTGATTTTCTACTAATTTATATATATATATATATATATATATATATATATATATATATATATATATATATATATATATATATATATATATAAAACAGTGTAAAATGAAAAAAATTTTTGTTAACTGATTTTCTACTAATTTATATATATATATATATATATATATATATATATATATATATATATATATATATATATATATATATATATATATATAGTGGTAATAGTTAACCAGCTTATAAAATAGTAAAACCTATATTAATAACAAAAAGTCAAGGCAATAGCTTAGCTTAAGTCAAATTTTTAAAACTAAAAACATATTATAAATAACAAAAAAAATTTCATCAGCTTGAAAAAATAAGCAACTAAGTCATAACCTCATCATCATTATCATCACCATCATCATGATTGTCATCAACATGAAGCGTATTAGCGTCCTACATGCTCATACATATATATATATATATATATATATATATATATATATATATATATATATATATATATATATATATATATATATATATATGTATATATATATATATATATATATATATATATATATATATATATATATATATATATATATACATATACATATACATTATATTATACATGATATAATCTGGAACAAGTATAAATAAATTTTATGTCTCTGTATAAAAATGTAAACATTTAAATTATATATAATAATAATATTTAAACTTATAATATCAAAATCTTTTTCCTTTAAATTAAAATTTCCAGCTTAGCAGTTATTTATTTACCAGCTTAGCAGTTATTTATAATAGCAAATTAAAAGTAACTGACGTTACTTTTAGCCTACATTTATAAAATTATCCAATACTAAAGCATCTCACAAAATCATACTAAGCAGACTAACTTTTAAACCCATTTTCTGATTTAACTGACTGAAATATTCTTTGCTTTGATTTTATTTTTGCTTTTCGTCTTTCCGTAATATCTAATAACCAATCAGATGCTGGTTGGCAAAAAAGTTATTAGCCAAACATATGCTGGTTGACAAAAAAAATGTGCTTCACTTTTTTTCCGGAAGTTAGACATCTAGTTAATATATATCATTGAATTTGGCACATTTTCGATTTCAGTAAGCTAGTTAGCTTACTGAAATCGAATTTTTAGTAAGTAGGATTCAATAAAAGCTTATAAGCTTATTAATAGAGTAATATCTTCATTTTTATTTTTTAAGGTGCACGGTAATATTTGTTCCTAGTCTTTAGGTTATCACTTCTGAGTTATAACCTTATAAATATAATTTATCTTATAAATATAATTTCCCTATATTATAAATATAAATTTCTCCATTCTAGTAATGTTAGCGCTAATAAACTGAGGGTTCGAGGTTTGTTTCTCGATGTTGAATTTTTTAAATTATGTTCTTCCCAGAAAAGTTTCATAAATGGTGTCATGTTATTATGGTGCTTATTATAATATCAAGATCAGAACTTAACATTTAATAAAATAAATTTCAAAATTTAAACATTTTACACACTTTTCACAATCAGAGCCAATAAAAAAACAATTTTTGTGATGTTTATACTGACTAGCTTTAAATGGTACTTTTTTCTTGTTGTTAAGGTCAAATTTATGAGGAATAGAATGATTTATTAGATTTCCATCTTTATCGCAATCTATCAAGCCATATGTTATGCCAGTACACATCTGTAAAGATTGAACTTTATTTAATAATTTTAATATTTTAACATGAGGAACTGATTGTAAAAACTCTTTATACAAGTGATGATCATCAAGCAATGTCCATCTATAAAAAATAACAAAAAACTTTAGACTACATCCAACAACAACTTCTAAATGTGGTACTAACGTAAAAGTTTGAAAAGATTTAAATGAAATAAAGTTTTCATCATATGATATAAACCAATTGAGTTTAAGCTTTTTTATTAGTTTTTTATGTTAGTAAGTTCACTAAAGATTTTGTATTTGTCTATATGTTTTGTATTTGTCTATATGTTTTGTATTTGTCTATATGTTCTTCTGTAGTCAAAATATCTTTAACAATAGATATATGTCTTCTTTCAGGTGCTTTAAAAGTTTCATGAGATTTCTTAGGAATATTGAGCAATGGTATTGCACCAAGCTTTAACATTTTTCGACCAGTTTCTATGATATAAAAATAATAACATAATTAGACATAAATTAAACATAATTAGACATAAATTAAACAAGACTTGTTCTACTACAACAACAAAAAAATGATTTTGCTTTTGTTTTTTAACAATTTAACAAAGATCTGAAATAAGATTTTACAGGCATAAGTTCAATGAGGGCTTAAAAGATTTAAATAAGATAAGAATACTTTAAATAATAATATTTTACCATTTAAAAAAAAAAAAGAAAATATCTTAGAAAATAACTTACTTGTAAACTCAAAATAAAGTTCATAAAAAAAGATATTTCCATTTGCAATACGCTCTTTGAGATGCTTGTCAAAATTTCTACATTTTGAAAAAAAAGTTCAATATATTTTTTCTCCGTTCTTGATGAAAATAGTCTGACCGATCCGGAAGTTGAAATATTCCAATATCTTAGTGTTTAGAGATTTGTAACTCCACATTCAGGAAAAGCACAATTTGCTCTAGGCATTTTTAATTCAAAAAAGTTATAAAATAATTGTAACTTAATTATTTAAACAACTTGAACAAAATTAATATTAAAAAATTTAATTAAATTGAATGGCAAGCATTTTTTTTTTGTAACAAGAAATTATTTAATTTTTTTTACGGGAACTTTAATACATACTAATTTTTTCAAATAAATAATATAGTAATAAAAGTGTTTGTTTGTATACATGTTTTACATTTGGGATTTGGCGAAGAAGAAACAGTAAAAAAAAGTTTCTTTTTTCTTTTTCAGGGATGGATGTTAGCAAACCGCCAAATATACAAACAAACGAATTCTATTGGTTCATAAAATACGCTGACTAAGCAAATTAAAGTTCCAGAATATTCCTAAGAAACTTTCTTAAAAATTTTATTGAAGTTATCTTTGAGATATCTATTGTAAATTGTTATAAAAGTGTATTATTAAACGAACTTTAACTTTGAAAAAAAAAAAAAAATTATTATACCCTTTTATAAATTGATTAATATTTGTCTAACAATAATTTTTATAAGTAAGTAGTTAAAGTTAGTTTTTTCGTTTTCTTTTTCATGTATTTGAATAAACTTATTATTATTATTATTATCATTAAATATAAAAATTTAGGTATATGTATCAATGCTATATTTTTTTTAAGTTTAAATTCTTTAAACGATACAATATAATGGACCATGGTAAGAGACAGCGCTTGTCTGGGTCACAATACAAGAAAATTAGGCTTCAACGTGAAGCAAATTCTGCCAAGCAGAAGAATGCTTTGTTGCACTTTTTGAGCAGGTCATCAAGCGAAAAAGCACTGGCACCTATAGTAGCTTCAACTTCAAACCAAAATGAAGTTGAAATTGAAATCGAAAGCGGTGGAGAAATAGAATATGCGGATAGTGTTAGTGTTAATGAATATAGAAATTCTGGAAATGATGATACTGCTAAAGAATCAGAAAATGTTGATGAAGTGGAATTTATCTCCAATTTAAGTGAAGTTGTTGTACAGAACGTCGATGATATAGGACAAAATGAAAACAATGAAGATAAAAGTGGTGAAGACCCCAAAACCAATAAAGATTTGCCTCTTAATTTTAATGATCCGGCAAAATGGCCTATAATAGATGGTAAATTTAAAGCATTGCTGATGAAGTATGGTCCAATTCAAAAATTGCCGTCTTTATTTCCCGAAGATGAACAAGGTAGAAAATTTTCAAGCTTTCATTTTTATCGCCGAATGTCTAATGGCGATAAAATTAAACGCACTTGGTTGGTGTACTCCATTACGAAAGACACTGTATTTTGCTTTTGCTGTAAGATATTTAGTCCGAATAAATTCTCCCTGTCATCGCATGACGGCTGCCGAGATTGGAAAAATATTTCTGTTATTATTAAACGACATGAAACATCAAGTGGCCACACTACTGCATATCTAAATTGGAGAGATCTGGTGGTGAGACTTAAATCAGGGGCTACGATTGATCACATTAATCAGAAAATAATTCAATCTGAAACTCAACATTGGCGACAAGTTCTTGCAAGAATAATAACGTTAATTAGAACTCTTGCTGGACAAAATCTAGCATTAAGAGGAACATGTGAAAAGCTTTTCGAACCGAATAACGGAAATTTTCTTAAATTTATTGAATTCTTAGGAAATTATGATCCTATTATGAGTAAACATATTCAACGAATAACAACAAGTGAAATTCACACCACCTATCTCGGAAAAACTATTCAAAATGAAATCGTTGAATTGCTTGCTAATAAAATCAAAAATGACATTTTAGCAAAACTAGAGCGAGCAAAGTACTACTCACTTATTTTAGACTGTACCCCCGATATAAGCCACATGGAGCAGATGACAGTTGTTTTTAGGTTTGTCAGTGCAACTGAATCATCTTCGGAAAAACCAGCTGAAGTCGTAGTTTCTGAACACTTCGTAACTTTTCTTGAATTACAAGACACAACGGGAGCAAATATGACAAAAGTTGTTATCGATAAGTTGCAGGAATTAGGCGTAAATCTTGATGACATGAGGGGACAAGGGTACGATAATGGAGCCAACATGCGCGGAAAATATAATGGTGTGCAAGCCAGAATTCGTCAACTAAATCCTCGAGCTTTTTTCGTTCCTTGTAGTGCCCACTCGCTCAACTTGGTATTGAACGATGCAGCTAATTGTTGTATGGAGGCTGTCGCATTCTTTGATTTAATTCAAGGCATTTATAACTTTTTCTCAGCATCAACTCATCGTTGGAGTATATTATTAAACCACCTAAGCGATCTGACTATAAAACCGTTAAGTGCCACTCGTTGGGAAAGCAGGGTCGGTGCCGTACCGGCACTTCGATTTCAGATTAGTGGAGTTTACGATGCACTAATTGAAATCGCAGAAGACAATACATTAACTACTGCACCACAAGTCAAGAGTCGCGCAGAGGCTAAGGGAATAGCCAGAAATATTTCAAATTTCAAATTTGTTTGCTCCTTGGTATTGTGGTATGACATTTTATTCCAAATTAATATTGTCAGCAAAATGCTCCAATCACAGGCTTTAGACTTGTCGCTTGCTCTAGAGCATTTAAACGCTATCAAATCTTTCCTATGCGATTATCGCTGTGATGAAGAATTTGCCGCAATAGTTGAAAATGCAAAAAAACTGGCAGTTGAACTAGAAATTTTTGAAGAATTTGATGTGGATGATCCCGTACGCGTACGCAGAAAGAGTAGACAATTCCTATACGAAGGTCGTGATGAACCGATAGTATCACCAGAACAAAACTTCAAAGTATCTTTTTTCAATCGAATATTGGACATCGCAATTCAAGCAATAAATGAAAGATTTACGCAATTATCGGAATATAACGAGTTATTTGGGTTTCTTTACAATATCGGCAGCAAACCCTTAACGGATGATGAGTTATTGAAACACTGTAAGGACTTGCATTTAGCGCTTATGTCTGATGGCCAATCTGATATCAACGGGGTCGAACTTTGGTATGAAATTAAAGCTATTGGGAGACGACTTGATACTTCCAATAGCGATCCAAAAAGTGTATTAAAATGTATTTACACATCTAATGTTGTCGAAGTATTCCCAAACCTTTCGATAGCTCTTCGCATACTACTAACGTTACCAGTCACAGTTGCTAGTGCTGAAAGAAGCTTTTCAAAGCTGAAAATAATAAAATCCTATTTGAGATCACAAATGTGTCAAGATCGTTTAGTTGGTCTAGCTACGATTTCCATCGAGAAAGAAATTGCTGATCATTTGCACATAGAAGATTTGGTTAAAGATTTCGCAGAATTAAAAGCTAGGAAAATTCACTTTTAATTACGATTTGTTTTTTATTTTTTCATGAATGGAATTTGTTTTGTTTTTTATTTTTGTATAAATTGAGTTTTTTTATTTTCTATATTAAAGTTTAATTTTCAGTGTTTTTCTATTTTCCTTCAAATTGGAAATTATTGCATTTTTAATTTTTGCGGCGGCAAATTTGCATCTCGCCTACACATAGAAAACTGTTAAAACCGGGCCTGACGTCGTGATATTAAAAGTGCTACTTAACTTTTTATTAAAAGTATATATTAGATTTACATATAGAGTATATATATACATATATATATATATATATATATATATATATATATATATATATATATATATATATATATATATATATATATATATATATATATATATATATATATATATAATAACAAGAAGATATATCTATATATATATATATATATATATATATATATATATATATATATATATATATATATATATATATATATATATCTTCTTGTTATAAGTTAAAATATGGTTAGAATTCAATAAATACGGCTGCGTATAAACTTTTTTTTTTTTAAATATATATATATAATTAACTTATTATTAATTATTATAATTATAATAATTAATAATAAGTATATTATTTATATACATTTAATAATAAGTAAATTATTATTATTAATTTACTTATTATTAAATATATATAATTATATATATAATTTACTTTTTATTTTCGTTTTCAACACTGGACGAATCATGCATGACAAAGTTCGTATTTTTGTATGTGGGTATGCAATTTATATTATACAATTTTTTATTGTATATATGTATCGCGATATAGCTTAAACTATAACCCGGGGTGCGCAATTAAAATTGTTATAAAAATTTAAATTTTTTAAAAAAAGTTTTATTTTTTTATAGTTTTTATTGTATAAATGTAACTTATGCATGTTTCGCATGACTGAAATTGTTTTTTATACTCAGGTCTGGTCCGATGTGGGTCGGTGCGGTATTCACATACACCCATTTTATACTGCTATGCGTTAAGTTATTTATTTAAATAATACAACTATAACTTTTTTTTAACAGCAACAACGATAGCAATATATTTACCAAAAATATAGATGTACAACATTAACTTATTTTATAAAACTTGTTTTCACCTTATTTTAAGGTTAAAAAAGTATACATACAATTTATATAATGGATTTTTTACTCTCTCATAGTCTAGCTAAAACATGGAGAGTGACCATAGTATGGGATATATCATATAGTTTTGTCGTATGCCAATAACTTATTAAATAAGTTTAAAAACTACTTATTATCATACTTTAAAACTATATGATGTATCGTATAGCTATCGATATAATATATCGATAACTATACGATACATCATCATATATCGATAACTATACGACACATCATTATATTATAATGATGTATTGTATAGTTATCGATATATGATGATGTATCGTATAGTTATCGATATATGATGATGTATCGTATAGTTATCAATATATAATGATGTATCGTATAGTTATACTATATTAACTTATGGTTGCATTTATACTATCTATACTATACTATACAAAAATATATACAATAATATTATTGAAGCATATACTTTAACTTGCATAACTAGCATAAAGCGAGATAGAGTCTCTCTCTGTGTACGAGAGAGGGGAAATATGTGTGCCAATATAGATACAATATTCGCAAAAATATCTAATTTATTCATTAGTTTTTAAGTAATCTATTATTTTATATTATCTATAAAATAGCTAATTTTTTTTATTTATAAATGAGGACAAGGTTATTTCAAAATAAAATGATGTTAAATTTATCTCTGAGTAATCAGGCTATTAAAGTAACAAAGTATTATAACCTAAATATTAAACTTACATTGAATAATGGTGCTATGTTAATAATTTCAGATAATTTCAGTTATCCAGAGGTATTAACAATATTCAGATTATTTTGAACAATATTGCTCTGTTGTTAATTATTTAAATTATAATATAATAATATCTATGGATAATTTAAATTATTAAAAAAAAGAGCATTGTTTTTCAAAGCTTAATTTCTTGGTAATTAATATTGTTATTTGCAAATAAAAAACATATTTTGTAATAGTTTAAATTGTTTTGGTAGATCTTATATTTTTTATTTCTATATAAAATCTCATTGTTGTAGTTTATTATTGCAAAGATCAGAAGTTCCATTAAAAATTCCTTGATACAACAGTTAATCCATATGGAATGCTTTTCACAAATCAGTAGAATTGTTATCGGTTGCTGTTGAAAATAGTCTTACAATTCTTGAAATAAAAGCAAATTTTTCACATTGGTTGTAGACTGTTTATGCTATAAATGCTATTACTTTTAAAAGTAATAGCATATATAGCATAAACAGTCTTTCAATCTATTTTGAATATCTATTAGCAAAATTATCAATAATCAAAAAATTGACCAAATAAGAGTCGGTTGGTTTTTTAAATGATATATTAACTATTAAAAAAAATAATTCACATCTATTATTGTAAACATAAAAATTAAAAGCACTCAATTAGAATTAATTGGGGCATATTTACCCAAATCCAAATGGGTAATATTAATTGTTTTATCCTGATATAAGATAACTATTTGGCTTCGTGTATGATGCAACAGTGAGTGCCCATCGGTTTTATTTAATCATTTTAATAATTGTATACTACATTTATTTTAATACTATAATTTTTGAATTGTTTATTTAATTATTTGAGTTGTTAAAAAATCAATTATTTTTAGACTTTGCTTTTTCCTTTCTTAGCGGTGATGAAACCTAGAGTTTATTTTTGAGATACCCTGATGATGAACCTAAAGTTTATTTTTGAGATACCCTGATGATGAACCTAAAGTTTATTTTTGAGATACCCTGATGATGAACCTAAAGTTTATTTTTGAGATACCCTGATGATAAACCTAAAGTTTATTTTTGAGATACCCTGATGATGAACCTAAAGTTTATTTTTGAGATACCCTGATGATGAACCTAAAGTTTATTTTTGAGATACCCTGATGATGAACCTAAAGTTTATTTTTGAGATACCCTGATGATGAACCTAAAGTTTATTTTTGAGATACCCTGATGATGAACCTAAAGTTTATTTTTGAGATACCCTGATGATGAACCTAGAGTTTATTTTTGAGATACCCTGATGATGAACCTAAAGTTTATTTTTGAGATACCCTGATGATGAACCTAAAGTTTATTTTTGAGATACCCTGATGATGAACCTAAAGTTTATTTTTGAGATACCCTGATGATGAACCTAAAGTTTATTTTTGAGATACCCTGATGATGAACCTAGAGTTTATTTTTGAGATACCCTGATGATGAACCTAGAGTTTATTTTTGAGATACCCTGATGATGAACCTATAGTTTATTTTTGAGATACTCTTTTGATGTGGCGAGTTATAAAACCCTAACCTTGCCGCAAACCTTATTTCCTGGCTAAATAAAGTAGCTAAAATATACAGAAATATACAGCATTTGAAAGAACTTTTTTCTATTTTATAGTTTTTTTTCAATTTTTAATATAAAAAGAAAAACAACAAGAAATTAATATTTTGAGGCATTTTATGTATATATAGGCGTATATGCTATATGGGGCTATTCAAATACTACGAGACACTTTTTTTGCTGTTTTCTCAACTCCCCCTCACTTTGTATATGTGACATTTTAAAAAATCCTTCCCCGCCCGCTTCGTGACTTGACATTTTTAAACAAATATATCTTCAATTTTGTTACTTTTTGCCTAAAGTTTAATAATCCGCTGTGATTAGAATTTAGATTTTGAAAATTTTATCATGTCACACTGTGGCTAACCACTCCCGCTCCCGCGTGGTATTTGGTAAACACCCTCCCCCACACCACAACCACCTATCTAAGAATGTCATGTATTATTTAAATAGCTACAATATGCTTTGCTATATTTTTAAATATAGCAACAACAACAAAAAAAATAATTCAAGTTTTAGTAAATGTAAGCCCTGCCTCTAAAAAAAGATGCATTCGGTCACTTTGCTCTGTATGTCTTAATAAAAAAAAAATTTAGTAATGCCATCACTTCTTTTACACAAATAGTTATAAAATAATTGCCTCAAATTTGGAGTAAGTTTTTGCCTAAGTTTTGCGTAACTCATGCGCAACTTTAACTTTATGCAAATGCAGCGCAAAAGTTGTGAATACCAAATAGTTACGCAAAAATAACTTGCATAGGTTTTTGTAACTTTTGCTCAGCTACGCAAGACTTACGCAAAAGTTGTGAATCCGCACCTTGACGCGCAAAGAAGTTGGTTAAAATAATGGCGGATAAAAGTATGTGCGTAATTAAAGACGACGAAGCTTATTGCTAGGCGGATTTTTAACAACTTTCTGATCAACAATTTTACTATGAAAACATAGATAAACCTGTCAATGATCAATTTAATTATATTTGACGAGAAAAACTTGCATCCAAATTTCTTGCGTGGCAAGCAATTTGTAGCTGTGGTTTGCAGTCCTCTTGTTTTGTCACTAAGAAAACCTTGACTGCCGATCTCTACAACAAAAAATGTCTCCAAAGAAGACTTCTGCCATTTATAAAAAAATACAAATACCAATGTCCTTTTTGGTCAGATTTTGCTGCTTCTCACTGTTTCAAAAAAAGTTCTACTGTGGTTCAAAGCTAATAATGTGAAAATTGTTCCTAAAAATGCGAGTCCTTAAAATCGTTCTAAAGAGCGCAAGATTGAAGATTTTTATGTAATAGTTAAAATAGTTCTTCTTAAGATGGTCGAGTAACAAAAAATAAAAAAGACTTCCAAAAAAAAGTGGATTAATGCCACCAATAATGTGAAAAAAGAAAAATCTGCAAAATGATGGCATCAACCCGCTATAAAACTCGATCTCTTGTCGAACAGCTTATCGAGTCCCTTAAAATTAATCTGAAATTTTAATTAATGTAAACACATAGGGTAAACTGGGGTAAAGTGAACTAGGGGTAAAGTGAAC